GTTTGATTTCTTTGTATGTATGGATCACTTGGGTTGTTACCAACATCTGGTGAAAATTTCATGTCATTAGCACCTCTAGTAACATATTTATTGAGAAAAATGGTGACGTGTTCAATACTTATTTTACCCGCTGTATACAGTACATTGTAGCCACAGCTGTCCTGGGGCAGAGCTGGCACCACCAGAGCCTCTGACCACCATCAGTAGGCAAGGAGGGTGAAGTGTCTTGCCCAAGGACACACCAACTGCGATGGCTGGAAAAGGGGATTGAACCAGCAACCTTCCGGTTACAGGATGACTCCCCTAACCACCACTGCCCTCCTTATCTGTGTTTTTTATGAACCATGCAGAATATTTAGTTTTTCAAATTGCATAAATAATCTTTATTTAAATGGAAACCTATCATTTAAATTTCAAGAAGAACTTTTAAAGCTTCTCACATCACACGTTAGCTCTGACATTTTTGAATGCTGTATGGTTACCACCTTGTTTTATGGGTTGTCTGTATCTTCTGGTTGTATTTAATCTTCTGCTTATTACCTCATGTTTCATTTGGATGTTTCACAAGAACTCAGAGTTTGGTTTGTTGTTTACACAGTTTTGCTGTCTGCATTGGACAACAGAGTCAGCACCCACCTCTGCATGTGCAGGTCTGCCACTTTTTCTCCCCATCATTGAATCTGGCCTGTTTCCAGGTGTTGGGTTTGACGAGCTGCGCTACATCTCACCGTGTCAGTATCCCCCAGGGCAACCCCTGGGGGCGGGGAGTGATTTAAGGGTACAAGGAAACAGTTCAGTTCTCTCTGTTGACAGCCAAGTAATATAAAGCCCTGAATTACCCAACTTATCTTTAACTATGCTGCATGCTTTATTTCCTCAAACATAACAACAGCTGCATCAGATTAACCTGGTGGCTTCAAATTACAGAACTGACAAGTGGAAATGAAACAAAACTAGACAAAACAAAAAAGACACATACATACATACATACATACATACATACATACATACATACATACATACATACATACATACATACATACATACATACATACATACATACATA